ACCAATTTCCGTGACTGAAAATTACTACAATTGAACTCTAGTGTGACAGTGCTAAAATTAAATCGCTGCGGGTAGTACTTTGACTGCGGAGGAAGATTTTATCACATGACTTCATCGACTGATTCATCGGACCGACTCGTCGTAACAAGACATTTTTAAAAAATGCAAGTTTCTGTAAAGAAAAGCAAACAGTAGTTTACATATTTTTCTGCCTTTCTAGTTATATGGTGAAAAGTTGCAAGGTAAAATAAAATCTGGATGTCACAAGTTCATTTTGTTCAGTCTACTCCATATTACCATAAATTTTGTCACTGAAAAGAAGTTGTACAAACATCAAAAATTGTTAAACACACATGCATTTACGTGCCGTTTATTGGAGCAGAATCTTACTAATACGTCGTTAGCAACTTTTGGTAGTAAACCAATTCTTGGAAAGACGTGATAAAGCAAAAACACAATGATTTATTAGTATCCCAGTAGAATAAACGCGATCTATACCCGTTATCATATACCAATGAAAGTGCAGAGGCTTTTTCTCAATGAGTGCTTTATAACTCTGTCCATTTGGATGAAACAACAGTATGAATATGTACGATATCTACAACAACGTTGCGATAGAACATAAGGGTTGTCGTTCACCGAGATGTCAACTAGCATGACTTTTATTGCGAAAAGCGAATGTCAATTATAAATGTTCATTCCATTCTCGCCTTGATTACGGCTTTAAATGTTTCAAGAATGCCTCAGAGCATCTCGAGATATGTTGAAAGCTTTTCTCAAAATCAAGTATACTTCCATAATAAGGATCACTAATAATGCGATCGCCCTCTGGATCGAAATCGCCAAACAACTGAACTATAGCCTTTGATCCTTCTGGTTTGATTCTATTCAAGTTTGATAAATTACTTCCATCCATGCAGATAAGATAATCGAATTCGTGAAAGTCTTCTTTGGTGACCTGGAACAATGGAACTGGAACGTCAAGAGATCAAAGGGAATTTGGAAAATTAGTTGGGATGGGAGATTGGAAAAAACTTACTTGTCGACCACTGTGATCCACTGGAACCCCGTGTTTACGACATGTTTTAATTGTCCGAGAATCTAAAGTGAAATTGTGTTAATATCTACTTTACATCAGACAGAAGCGTTTAACGTATTATTGTTTAATTGCCTGGTCTGTCTCCAACATGATAGCTCGACGTTCCAGCGCTGTCTACGTGAAATTGGTCCTCTAGACCGTTTTGCCGTAACATGTGAGCAAACACTGCCTCTGCCATAGGGCTATATATATATATGGAACAATTAGTAGTCTTGCCATCGACACGAAATACGGGGCCCCTCCCTATCAAGCATTTATTATTATGTCAGCAAGACCAGTACTTTCCTACCTACGACAAATATTCCCTGATGTCAGAAGAATTAATTTTAGTAAACTAGGGCGATAATAAACATTATATTACCGACAAGATACGAGAACAAACCTAAGCAAATGAACAAAATGCAAGTCTTTTGGTCGGCCATATCTAATTAGGGACTTTCGGATGAAGATGTTGATTACTTTTGATATTGTCGCACAAATTGTTGGATAACTAATCATAATCATTCAGTTTTACCCTCTACACATCATCGACAAGAGTCTTTACTTGATAGACGTTAGATGACTAGTTTTTTTATAATCAGTCATCACATATATTAATAGGGGAAAGAAACTTTGACTACTGTCGACTAATTAGCGAAGCTTAATGCCTTTACTCATTTCAGAAAGAAAATATCGCTCTCACATTCTAAGTACAAATTTTGCTGCCACTCTCTATTTCAGATGCCTATTTTTTTTTTAACTATCAAGAACCTAATATCTCAACCCTTGTTTGAATGTTATCAACTTTCGACTTGTTGACAGAACAACTGAAAAGTAGTGAATTTTATGAGATAAATTTACTTCATCATTACCAATGTTATTTAGCTTGTCATGGATTACATATAGTAGATACAATTAACATTATAGTAACTATTTCATGGGGTGGTTGAAGGGGTATGCAACCATTATGGATTGCACTTTATATGGGCATGCTACAACAAAACAGACAAAGTGAACACTTGACTGCATGAGCTAAAAAAAGAGGCCGAGTTTATGTCCAATAAACAATGAAACAACCAATCCCATAAACATGTAAATTCGGAAACGGCTCGACTTTTTTTGGTTTGGTTCATCTGGTGGCCTTTGCACGAGAAAGGTTGCCATCTTAATCGAAAGTTGTGAACTGTTGGTTTCGAAAGAGTCACTCGCCCAGCGTGCACTTGTCACAATGCCATGTTAATATACGATGACCGGAAGACTATCTTCTTCAAAGTCCGTATGATCGAGCTTGCGTTTTCTCTCTAGCATCTGACAAAAGGAGTAAAACGTTACAATGAATTAAAATATTTTCAATAAAACTGAATCGCAAAATTTCCTTTACTCGACCACACTATGCAACACCCTCAAACCATAGAAGAATAAGACGATGAAATATCTGATACAATACCAACGTCTTTTTGATGATTCAAGGCCAGAAAAAAAAAGTCAGTTACAGTTTATCGATATATGCATGCGTCCGTTCTTCACTCACACACCGAGATCCCAATGGAACGGAAGGAATCTACACGAGAAGGATTGATCTCTATCATCCTCGGAAGTGGAAAGCAATTCTAAACCCGAGCTACCCAGCCGTCCGTTCTTAACAAGTTCATATTCGACCAATGTTTTTACATTTCCCAATGTCTAATTGCATCATCCACACCTGGTGCTATCATACAGCCAAGCTATGATGCGCCAGAAAATTGTCCATGTCATAACTGTACTCCCTATATTTCGTATTGGCCAATTATGGTCTCTTATTAGCGGGATGGGAAATCGCAAAAGATCTTTGTCCTTTTAGTATTTCTAAGAACAAACCCATCCGAAATTTGGATGTTGTTTCCTTGAGCGTCTACAAAGTAGACCTTGCCACGTCAAGTTTACGTAGGTGTGACTAATAAAAGGACGCAAAACTCCACGTCAAAGTTTATTCTTTCGATCCTCTGACAACACTTATGCTCTGTCGGTGACATTGCGTAATTATTATGTTTAGTGAGATAAAAGATAAATTTCGTTTCACGCGTCAATTGATTTCAACTATGACGACCACAAAAATGGACACCTGTACGACAAGGATTTTTGATCATGCAAAAAGTGACAGCGTGTTGTTCGTTAATACAATCCAAATGGTCACCATATCGAGAATGTCTTTATATCGAGAATTAACTTACATACGATAACTAAGCAATATAAAATTTGTCCTAAGATTTCTGTCGTTATAACGAGATGTCGTTATATCGAGACTCACTTGTAGTAATCAATATCAGTAACCAAATTTAGGGAGTACAGCCAACATCGCATAGAATACAAGGCAGCCATGCACTGGCAAAATCAAGTTTATAAACAGTGCGAGTTTTCACTAAATTCAGCGTGTTCAAATTTTGGATGAAGATAGGGAAAGAAATGTGGAATGATTGCTTTAATAGATGACAAATTGAGGCCAAATTTCATTGGTTTGGAGATGACTGAGACATTTATATTTTGGAGAATGCAAAAATGGGTTTGAGTTGTGTTGACAGTATTTACACTCGTACCCCGTTTATATCCCTACCCAGTTATATCCCACCCCCGGTTATATCCCCAAATTTTGTAAAAACAGATGTTCCTTTTTGTGCCAGTTAAATCCCATCTCAGATATATCCCTATCCCCAAAACCGAATATAATAATCCAAACTCCTAAGTTACACCAATTGCTAAAAAAAACTGCATGCAATTATTTACGTGTTATTTGTAATGCGATGGACGTTAGGCAGTGTAATAGTTATTTTCGTGTCATTTTCGCGTCATTTACGTGTTATTTGTTTGACATTTACATAGAATGTTGTGAATAAAAGTTCCTCGCGATAGTTATTTGATTCTTTGATATTAGGATGTCTTATGATGATAATGATAAAGAAGGAAAGATCCATTATCACTTATGAAGAAGGTAAAAAGCCGTTTGATATATTCAAGCAGTATATTGAACAGTTAGATCATGCAACTGCAAATGATATTTCTTTTCTGAACAACTTAATGAAAAAGGCTGAAGACGAACACAGTGATAAATTAAAACAAAGCAACTGTATTTATATTTTTGATAATAACATTGTACGTATATATTTGAATAACCCATTTTATTTTTTTGCATTATAATTATGATTCTTGTCATGTGACTACGAGAATCATCCTTACCATCACCCCCACTTCGAAAGGGGGGATACAACGGGGTATGGTGTAATATTATACAGTGTGCAAAAAAGACTTAATTGTTAGAAAAAGTTAAACAATAATTAAACTTTTTTAATTTAGTATTAGCTCATGTAAACAACAATTATCTATTACGCATCTTATACGTTAAAGAGGGATGTGCAATGTAACACAAGCGTTAAGAACGAGATTTGTTCACTTGAAAAAAAAAACAAACTTTTTTTAAAATTCAAACTATGTCGTTAGCATCAGATAATCCAGCAATTGACAACTTAGTTCAATCCTCCTTACCAAACAAAGATGGCGAAAGACTTGAATGGATTCCTTGCTCGCAAATTACCGACATAAAGCCAACTCAAATTGACAATGTTCATTACGCTATTTACAAGCGAACACTGGATAATGAGGAAACGACGATAATGCTTTCATTGCTTGTAAGTGATGAGATATGTACACCATCGTCTGTGGGTGAGTTTGCCAGAATACACTCACTTCCGACGCACAAGTACAATAATGATGACAGTCAATTTAGAAGATATTCTTACTGGCTTAAGGAGCGCAACTACTTGATAAAAGGATTTACCAAGTATGATAACAACTTGTCCAATATTGCATGCATGTTGTGGTAGAAAACCAAATAATATTTTCGTGATGATGGTTCTTTAGTGATCCCAATTATCCAAATATTCTCGGGTGTTAATATCTCGGGGTATTCCTTAGTTAGCTAATTGAGCAAACAAATACAGTCAATAATCTGCTTGGTACACACGTTAGTAATATTACTTGCATTTTACGCGTGAAATAATTTACCTGATGAAAATCAAATGACTGATCATCCCCTTCAACTATCTTTTTGAGTGTCACACTTGTCAATTCATTTGTTCTCCAATCTGCTATATGTGTGCATCCATGGCGTAATGATGTCATCTCTTGCATGTTTGTCAATAAGAGTATTCAATCCATTTTATGTACGCATCATACTTATTCTTCACATTACTCCATGACTCCATAATGAATGAATCCAATGACTTGTTGCCAGTCATCCAATCAACAGGTCTTGGTGCTTTACAACGAAGACAGAATGCATCTATCTGGGGTTTTAATTGCTTCGTACATGCCAGACATAAACCAATCCTATTACGTCCTTTTATTAGACAATACTCCCCCCCTCTATATGTGAATCCGATGGTAATCCAAACATCAGTGGTAAGAATATCTGGATGCTTATCACATAACTAGTGAAAATGATACATGATAATAAGTCAATAAT